CGGCCTGCGCGGGGCTGTGAGCCGAGGCCGGGCCGGGTCGCCGACGCGGGCGAGGCCGCCCCTCCTGCGGGCGCGCCTAACCGCCTTGCGCCGGGGGTTGCTGCGGGCCGCTTCCCTTTCCCCGACTCCTGAGGTGGACGCGCTTTCCTAATAATCCGCAGTGAGGAAGCCCGGACAAGCGGTAGATCTGCTGTAAGGTTTTGAACTTGGCTGTTTTAATCCTTTAACTTTTATAAAATCACTCGGTCTTACTTCTTCTCTATACAGTGGTGCAACACTCGATATGTTTAGTTTTGTGGTTGTGCCTCTTTAATTTATTGGATTGTCATTTCATTTAATACGGGATTGTATCTTAAGTTCTGTATCTTTTGTTTAATAAGGGGAAATACGGGAGAGTAGAGAGCTGTCACTCCAGAAGCTGTCTGTTGAAGCAGTATGTTATTCTCGATTGAGTAGGTTTTGCGTTAGTTGGTAAGTAAAGTGAATATGGAGGCTAGTAACCAAATTTTAAAAAGTACTTAGCAACTTTATTTAGTCCTTTTGTCTACTTATGTGTTTTCTTCTTTCCAGGCTGGAGCTACTCTGCCAGGGTTTAAAACTTTAAATGGGAATAAAGGGTAGTACTTACGAGGAAATGAGAGTGAATAAATCATCTCTAACCTCTTCTAGCCTTTTTTCCGTAAGAGAGACCATATTAAACTTACATGTAAGTTAAAATTTTCATTTATAACCAATGTTGCTGAATTAGGATTGGAGATTTAAGTTTTGTAGTACTATTTTTAAAAATAATATGCAAAATGAGAGGTTAGAAAAAATTAAAGCGAACCTTAGGTAGCAGTGAAAACCAAGCAGAAGTAAAGATTAAGAACTCTAAAGTTTTAATATGATGTGGGCAGCCTCCTGTAGAAGTACAGTCCAGTTTACTTTCTGGGTGGCCCTCTGCATCTGACTTTACCTCTGGGAAGTTTGGTTTCTTTAGCTGTAAAGTGGTGATAAAATACCTTCTTCTCATTGTGTAGAGTAGAATTGATGTGTGAAAATCATCAGAACAGTGTTTAGGTAGGTGCTCAGTGAGGTTTAGTTATTATTATCAGGGAGAAATAATAATATGAAGAATCTCAGTTGTTTTCAGAGTATTTCTATTGTATAGTAATGGTTCACTCATATTTAAAACAGACGACTTGGAATATTGCATTTATTTTCCATAGAAGGTATAATAAGCTTTATCTAAATGTACCTGATTGGTAAGTGTTGTGATATTGAACAGGAAGACACTTCTTTGTAGAAAATATAACAGTGGGTCGGGGGCCAAGAGGGAATGTGAGATGTAGGTCAAAGGATACTAAGTAGCAGGCATGTAGGATGAAGTCTGGGAATCTTATGTACAACATGATGACTGCAGTTTATAAAATTGTATTGTATTAGGGATTTTTGTTAAAGTATGTTTTAGCTGCTTTTGTCACCAAAGAAAGTAACTATTTGAGACAATAGATATGTTAATTAGCTTCCCTAGAGTAACCATTTTACTGTCTATATGCATCCCATAACATCATATTGTTAACTGCAAATACAATACAGTTTATTAAAGAAATAAAATAAAAGCCCCTACTTGACAACGAGCTTTAAAAAAAAGACTTCTCTAGCAACACTGAGGGTTGTGATCCGTTGCCGGACACGGAAAAAGACAAAAAAAAAAAAAAAAAGACTTCTCTAGCAACACTGAGGGTTGTGATCCGTTGCCGGACACGGAAAAAAAAAAAAAAAAAAAAAAAAAAAAAAAAAAGACTTCTCTGTGTTGTAGAACTAAGGGCACCCCTCAGACTAGAGCAGTTCTCAGCCTTAAACATTTCTGCATATCTAACTTTTTGTTTTATGCCAATAAACTTGAAATAGAACTGTATAAAGTATGGCTGTAGATGAAAAGAAATTATGACCTGGCAAAATAAATGGATTGCAGATGTTTTCCATGTCTTTTTTTTTTTTTTTTTTCCTTTTTGTCTTTTTGTGTGACCGGCAACGGATCGCAACCCTCAGTGTCGCACCCGTACCGGACCAGGACCGGCAACGGGATCGCAACCCTCGGTGTTGCGCCCGCACCTCGCTCAGCCAGTGAGCGGCCGGTCTGTATGTGGGATCCGAACCCTCGGCGGGAGCACCGCCATGCTACAGTGCGCCACCGGGCCGGCCCCTTTCCATGTCTTTTGTATTTGTGTATAGCCTATAGGGCCCCACATGATCTGACAGTCACCTTACTCTGCTGCTTACCTACCCTCACTCACTCAGAATCAGTCACAATGGCCTTTCTTTTCCTAGGAAACGGCACACCTGCTCATACCTCAGAGCCTCTGCACTTGCATCTCTCTCTGCTTTGTTCTTTTCCCATCTTGAATTTCAAGACTTTGCTCAGTGTTACCTCCTCAGCGAGGCCTCCTAACCACCCTAGTTAAAATAGAAGCCCCCCAACTCAACTCCCCAGTGCCCTTAACATGCTTTATTTTTCACCATAGCATTTACCATTTTCCAATATGATGAATGTCTTTATTTTATTGTTTCACCCTACATTCTAGAATGTAGTATGTACTCAGTAAATCTTTGTCAGTTAAATAAATGAGATAAGCAAGCCACCTGTTCACAGGGAGCCACAGTGAAGGGGATACGAGTAACCGTAATACAGGCTAGAAAATAAGTGTCCAAAGAACGATGCAGGTTAAAGGATAGGGAATTCAGAAAAGATTGTGATTACTCTGGCTTGTGGAATGAAAGCAGGGCTTCCTTTCAGAGATTCTTTTTGAACTGGGCCCTTTAAGAAGAAAGGAATCGTGTAAACAAAGATATGGAGGAGGAAAAGCAGGAGTAGGTTAGAATGGCAGCAGTGTGCTGACCTCGGGTAGAATACAGGGTATGTGAAATATGGGAATAGGAAATGAGATTTTAAAGGTAGATTTGGAATGAATGGTGAAGAGTCTTAGTTATTGGGTTATAAAATTTGAGCTTCTTGCTGTAAACAGTGGGTAGTAATTCTCACTTTTTAAGCAGAAGAATGAGATTGGCAGAGGTGTGTTTTATAGAGCAGCATGGCAGCATCACGCTTATAAGCTGGACTAGGGTCGGGAGAGATGTGGAGGTGCAGGGTCTTGTCAGGCAGTGCAGGTGCGAGGCTGTATTTCAAAGGTAGAGTCCATCTGGCCCTCTTGGTTCTTATGTCTACTTTGGATAATGAGGATGGTGAAGCCCTTGTCAGTGCACAAGGAGGGGCAGATGGGGCAGACATGATGACCTACAGTGAGAGCCTGGTTTGAGCTGCCACTTGCTTGTGTTCCAACTCTGGGACTAAAAGGAGACTCCATTGGGAAAGGCAGAAAGCTAAGGATGAGGAGACCTGGGTTGTAGTCCTGGTTTTGCTGTCTGTCAGCTATGTGACAAGTTACTTCATGTCTCTGTACCTGGTTCATCCTGGGTCTTGACCATGTATCTTTTCAAGCCTTTGTGAAAATAAAATGTCAAAAGTGCTGTGGCAGGCTTAAAGCTGGATATGTACTTTAGTTGGTACAATTTTTAAAGTTTCCTAACTGTGGTGATTATGTTGCCTACTGTTAGTTATTTTGCAACGCAAATCTTTTTTTTTTTTTTTTTCTCCTCTGACTGGTAAGGGAATTGCAACCCTCAGCACTGTGTGGTCTGCACCACGCTCGGCCAGTGGGCGCACCGGCCAGCCCTATGTAGGATCCGAACCCGTGGCCTCGGTGCTACCAGCGCCGCACTCTCCCACGTGAGCCACGGGGCCGGCCCAAAACAAATCTTAATTTAGGCTTTCTTCATAGATGTTGGAATACTAGTCCATTTTTTCCTATTCTTTAAATTATGTGTTCTCCACATTATTTTGGAAAGTGTCCCAATTTTATTTTTTTGAGATGTATTTATTTCATTTTTAACATGCTTGCATTTAATGAGAGTTTACAAGTATTTATAAATATTAGTAAGATCAGTTGTGAATATTAAGTTTAAAATTTAGAGAAAACAAGCTGGAAATTCTAAGAGTTTTTAAAAGTGTGTTTAAAATTTGAATAGGTTGTTTTTAGAATTTTTTTTTTTTTTTTTTTTTTTTTTTTTTTCCGTGTCCGGCAACGGATTGCAACCCTCAGTGTTGCCCCCGTACCGGACCGGGGACCGGCAACGGGATTGCAAGCCTCGGCATTGCTCCCGCGCCTCGCTCAGCCAGTGAGCGGGAGCCGGTCTGCATGTGGGATCCGAACCCTCGGACGGGAGCGCCGCCGCGCTTCCCAAGCGGCGCACTATCCAGTGCGCCACCGGGCCGGCGCATAGAATTTTTAATTCTCTCAGCTGTGGAATCCTTGAAGACAGGGACCTTTGATCGTCTTTGTAACTCCAGTGCCTGGCACATAATAGCTGCTCAGTATGTTGATTGAGCAAACGGCCACATGCAAATAACAGTAAGAGGTGAGGGTTACTCCATCTGAGTCCCTCTGAAAAGTAAGATGGGCAGGTTACCAACTGGAGCTTATCATCTCTGATTTGGGAACCTACCTGAAGTGAAATTTAGCAAGTTTTCTTGTTTAGCTGTCTATAAGCCTGGCCTGGCTCCATGGTTCCATGGCTCCATGGCTAATTCTTCCCCCCACCCCCCTTTTACTTTAATAGCAGTTTTAGTTTTACAAGAAATTGAGCAGAAAGTACAGGTAGTTCCCATACCCTCTCCATGAGCACATACATGGTTTTTCCTGTTATTGACGTGTTACATTAGTGTGGTACATTTTTTACAGTTATGAACCAATATTGATATATTATTATTAACTTACATTGGGATCTTCTCTTTGTATTATCCAGTTCTCACAGCTAATTCATTTATCTTTTATATTGTTTATTAATATTATTTTTTTTACACTGTAAGATGTGAAGCAGTTGGCTGTGGGGGAGGGGAAGGGGGAAGGAAATAGGGTGGGAGAAGGAAGAAGGAGGAGGGGCATGATTGAGGCCTGTGGCACACCCCTCATTCCCACAGGGGAGACGAGGGGGCTTCCAGCAGTGGCTTGGTCATTGCTGGGCTGGATGCAGATGTCAGGGGTGTGTGGCTCAAGCCCTCGGTCCCCCACTGCCTTGGCTGGGGAGCCCAGGGCGCTTCCTGTGGTGGCTTGGTGGTCATTGCTGGGCTGGTTGGGGGTGTTTGGGGGGCATGGCTGAGGCCCGTGGCCCTCCCCCCTCCCTGGCTTGGGAGCCCAGGGGGCTTCCAGTTCTTCTAAGTTTTATAGGTGTTCTTTGATCATGTAAGACCTTTACTAGTTAACATCACACATTGTTTCTGGTCTGTGGTATTCTGTTTTTTCTTTCAGTTCTGTGTTGGATTATTCACTGTTCCTACTACTTAAACTCTGCACTGGAACTAATTTGTTGACCTTTGCTTACTTCTAAAATGGAGGAACTTCCTATGGGGACCAGCATTTGAGAGCCCTGTGGTTGAGGTAAATTGCTCCTTTGCTGCTGATTACCTGGGGAGGGCTTTTTATGCAGCTCAGATTTTAATGGTTGACTTTATAGGTACTTCCGGTCTCGTGAGATCTGGTACACCTGGGTTGTGTAGAAACTCTGGTCTGGGCCTGAGTCTTTTCAGCAAACTGCACCTCCTATAGTTCTCTATTCCTGACCAGTCTCGACTGAGTGGGCCTGTGCTAATTGGAGGGCATATCAACT